TGCTTTCAATTAACTTTTTCTTTAACCTTACCACTTTGTGACCCTGCCTGCAATTCATTCATTCATTTCTTTGTTTCTTATCACTGCAGCATGTACCCAGCCTTGGTATTGTTAGGGTCCTTTTGATGATGAACTACGGAGGCTATAAAGTATTTCTGCCTGACCATTTCCCTCTGTTTTTTATCATCTGGCAACATACTCTTTTTACTCCCTTTCCTGCTTTTTATCTGAACATTTATAGATCTTTTCTTGATTCATCTTGCATTTTTATGGATCTGGATCCTGCAGTATATTTTGCAGGATAACAAAGCTCGGGATTTCATGTTTTCCAGTTTCTGCCATTGTGATTAATGCCAACTCTCATTTCTTTTTGACTGGCTTTGTTTCCTTCTCTACTGCTAATTTTCTACCCATGAGACTGTCCACTAAGTTTGAATTTTCAGTAATTCTGGAGGCAGGTCTGCATGAGAATGGGGCAGGAAGAGACGCAGAGGGGCTCCTCGGTCATCTGGCCAGATGTGTATGTAATCGGCATGTGTGCCTGCGCATCACTGAGCTATGCTGATGTTCCTGTTGCTTCACTAGTAACTCTGCCGTGCTATAACTGCAAAGCAAACGGCAATGAGCAAACAAGGGAGTACAAGAGACTGTGACCCTGAATTAATTAGATCATGCCTGTTACTCCTGGCAATGTGACCAAAGTTATACAGGCGATACGTAGCTCCGTGCCTCATCCACTGACAGCAGATTTAGCCTGCATCTCTTCAGACATCTGTTCTGTGGACATCTTGTTCCTCATCTCCCCTTCTTTCACGCTTCTGAGACTTCAGTCAGAGCATGGAATTATGCTCAGAGCTTGATGTGAATGCTGCCAGATCATTTGCTACAGCTGCAGCCAGCCACAAAAGGACCTAAAAATCAGGGATTACCTCTTGTTGGTTTGTTTTCTAAATCTGTCTTTTTAATCTCTATTTCTATGACACTGATGATCTCATTTTCCCTGTTGAAAATATCATCTACTCCTGTAATTAGGAGATTGCTGGTTCTGATAGAGCATCTCATTTCTCAGTATCTCAGTATTATGAGGTCTGAAGGAAGCTGCATGAAAAGATGTCTTAAGTAGTTTGATGAAATGGTGGGTGACCTTAATTAAGTGTTAATTTAATAATTGTCTAAACAAAACATATTGTAGGTTGCAACAGTTTGGAATAAGCTGCTTTTGTAACTACAAGGTTTGCCTATCTGTGACCTGAACCTGGCAACATCTCCCGCACCATCGTAACCCTATGCCTCCCTAATGGATGTTCCAATTCCCTGCTAATCTGCATGCAGTTGATATCCTGAGAACAGCTCACTTCAGACCTTTGTCTTTTTCCTTCCTGACGGTCTACAGCAGAGTTCCATGCAGCAGTTGACTGCTGTTCCCCTGTTGCTGGCACCTAAGAGAACCCTGCACTTGTTCTTATTGTGCACCCTCGGCCTTTACCTGGAGTCTCCTTGCTGAGCAGGGAGCACATGTGCTTTGACTTCTCCTAGAGCTCCAGTTATTCTGTAGCTGGCAATGATGGTTTTTGGGTTTTTTTTTCCCCATGGTCCAAGGTGTAGAAGATTTTTGGACCACTGGAAGTGTCAGACCTTGGTGACTCAGTAGAGAGACACGGGTGATTAGCACTGCTGGGTTGACATGACCACAGCAGCAGAGGTACAGTTTGTCACCCCTCTCTACGTGCTGCTCGAGTGATAGGAAAGAGGAGGAGCATGCCTACACACCTCATCCTGATTCAGTAATTCACATGGGTGTTTTGCCTGAGAACTAGTCAGAAATGACCCTATTGCACCACCCTTCTCTCCCGTGATCATCTGTACTGGTTATGGTCAGTGATGTAAGTAACTGGAGTGTCATGAAACAGGGAGAGATGGGTTCATATGTGTAGTACTGCCTTCGGAAGCTGTTGAATCCATGCTTACTGCAGTAGAGTAACAGGTACTTCAGTGGTACTAAGAGTAACGTTGAGGGAGGCAGGACTGATCACATTAATGGTGGTGGAAGGAGGCATTATGGTGATATTCGCACCAAACTTTGTTTCGTAATAAGGGACAATCACAGAGGTAATTGTAGGAGTGGGGAAATCTGGACTTGGAGTTGGCTTCCAGGTATCGATGGTCATGACATTAATCTGCAGTGTAACCACATCACCATCCGTGTTGGTCAAGACATTTGCCTTCTGTCCCAGTGTAGCATTATCAAACCAGAAGGCACTTGTGAATTGAACCCCAAAACATCTAAAAAGCCCCAGTTTGCACCTTGTGCTCTTGTTTGCCCATCCAGTGCTTGCTTTTATTTTATGCAATTGGTCTTGCCACCTGGATACCTTTTTCCGCATTTGTAAGTGATAACTTCCCTCTCCAGTTTAATACTGCTGCTGTGTTTGATATAACCTTAGTCACCCTTCAATTAGTCTTCTGCATGCTCTCAATCTCCTGCCACTGCCTCTCATTAATCTCTTGTGCAGAGCTGGCGTATGTTCCTCTTTCTGTACTTTTTCCCTCTGCATCAGTTCCTGTATCCTCCCTTGTTGATGAGATTTTTTCCTCGCTCAGGGTGCAGAAGCGGTGAGATGCTGCGCAAGAAGTGCGCACTGACGTTGAGCTAGGAGCCCCAGCAAAGCAGCTCCCCGTTTTTATGCCCCGGTGTCCTCTGCTAGCTCCTCCAGTGACTGCCAATTCAACACCAGTCTTGGTGCTGCATCAGGCGTGTGGTTCTCCAGAGCTGGCGAGCCCGGGAGGCAAATGGCTCTGCCGGCAGGAGCGCTGGTTCAGTACAGTTCAAAGGCCGGAGGTCTTCCTGGCTGCAGAGGCAGGGTCTGGTTTGCCTGTAAGAGCACCCCTGTTCAACACCTCTCTGTGTGCCCTTGGCAGCACGTCAGCAGTTGTACGAGACTCCCAGCATACTTCCCTCTACTTCAAATGTCACTTGTGCACAGATAATGGGTCCTCTGTTGTTACAGTGCATGGGCTTTCTATCCTGCACATCCATAATCTGTTTCAGCTCTGACGGGGGTAGCCTCCTCCTCCCGTGTGCTCCTGCCTTTCTTGGATATTTTTCAGCAGCTTGATGGATTTATCCTGAAATAATGAGCCTGATTTCCCCCTCCTCTCACATTTTCTGCCATAAAAAGTGACAGTTATTGCTGTCAAATCAGAATCACAGTGTTTATGGTCAGTTTATAGCCATTTTACATAAGTGAATGTGACGGTGCAAGATGGGAGGCAGCAGGGAATCACACCCTTTCCCCACAGCACTTACTCTCTCCTTATTATTTTATTTGTGTAGAGACTCCCATGTCCACACGTGCTAGGCAGGGCTGTATAAATTAAAAAAAAAAAATCGCATGCAGCATACACAGTCCCTGTGGAGCTCTGTCTGAGCACAGTGTGAGGTTTGCAAGAGAAAGTCAGGATCTGGCCCATCGTGAATGAATCCATCGCAGCTACACAGACAGGGTCCGTGCCGAGATAACTGATGCTCTTCCTCTCTGTCTGCAGTTCAGAGACGCCGGTCAAGGAGGCTTGTGTAACCAAGCTATCATGCTGATCACAGACGGAGCGGTGGAGGATTACGAAGCTGTGTTTGAAAAATACAACTGGCCAGATCGGAAGGTTTGTCTGGGAAGTGATTAATAGAAAGGGTGAGGAAAGGTGCTGTTCTGCTCTGGTGGGAATAGGAGATCCTGAGCCAGGATGTCTGGCAGAGGGGAGTGTGCACATCCTGCTGTAAACACAAACCAAAGCTGCCAGACAGGAGCCTGCTGTGGTGGTTTTAGAGGTGGTAGGGTTACAAATGGATATCTGTAGGTCAGAGAAGATCTTTCTCTGACCCCCACCCCCCCCTTTTGTTTTCTAGAGGCAATCAAAACATTCTTGTGAGAGGTTGGTAAAGATTAAGCTTCCACTACCTGAAGGGGCTACAAGGAAACTGGGGGGGACTTTTTACAAGGGCCTGTAGTGACAGAACAAGGGGTAATGGGTTTAAAATGAAAGAGGGGAGATTTAGGTTAGATATCAGGAAAAAATTCTTCCTGGAGAGGGTGGTGAGACCCTGGAACAGGTTGCCCAGAGAAGCTGTGGATGCCCCATCCCTGGAAGTGTCCAAGGCCAGGCTGGATGAGGCTTTGAGCAACCTGGTCTAGTGGAAGGTGTCCCTGCCCATGGCAGGGGGGTTGGAACTGGATGGTCTGTAAGGTCCCTTCCAACCCAAACCATTCCGTGATTCTATTAATATTTAAAAATAATTTTAAAAAGAACAAAAAAACTTTTGCAAATTATTTTAATCCTATCCAGTCCTGTTTGTTATTGGTTCTGTTTGGGGAAGGTTTGGCTACTACCAGTTTTTATGGTGGGCAGGACAATGGCCCAGACAACCTCTTTGGGTGCCTTCCAGCCCTATTTACTCTGAGGTCTGTGATTACAGGCTTGTACTAGCAGAGCAGACTGTGAAAGCAGAATAGGCCACGGCTCATCCTAAACCCTCCTGATTTATTTGTTTACCTCATCCCAGCTAGCAGCAATGCACAAGGAGAGAGAAGCAGCCTACTGAGAGACCAGAGCCACGGGGCTGTTAATGCAGTTTGTTTCAGGCTTGGCTCTTTTGTTATTGGTCAAACACAAGAGAAATGGTGAAGCTTGCTCTAAATGATTCATGCAGCCAGCTGTTCCCCTGGGTGAGGGATTCCTGGGAGCTATAAACCTCTCCGTATGTGGTTGCTGAGTGCCTGGCAGAGCTGCCGTCATAAACTCAAACAGAATATGCACTTCTGCCTTGTTATTCAGATGATCCTGGGTGCTACTTGGCTTGCTGGGCTTATTGTAATTGGAAATGAAGTTCCAGCCCACAAAATGCAAAACAAATGGAGCGAGAGGCTCCTGTCTCTGTGTGAAGGCAGAGCTACTGCTATGCACCACAAACGGGCATTCACACCAGCGTATAACAGGATACCAAGCCTCCGCCATTTGGATGTGGTAGTACATTACGGCCTAATTCTCCTTTGTGTTCTTGTTCCCAGGTCCGGGTTTTCACTTACCTCATTGGACGGGAGGTCACTTTTGCCCCCAACGTGAAATGGATCGCCTGCAACAACAAAGGTGCTGTATAGGCATGGTTCCCCAACCCCCATCGCGCACGTCAGGCGTGGACTGCAGCCACGGGGCCCTGGGCCCCTCTGAGGCCTACCCACTGCAGCTGGGACCCACAAGACCTTGGTTGGAAGACAACCTAAGGAAAAAAGCAGGCCCTGCTAGTCCACGTGGAGTGTGCCTGTGTCCAACTAACACAAGTCCTCCGTGCTGAGCCACCACATTTTCCTGTCACAGTGCCAAGGGACACTATGACCGAGATTCATGCTGGCTGTGGTCCACCTAAGTCCCTGTGCTTACTGTGTCCCTGTTGCTGGCTTTGGACAATCTGTCTGCTGCTCTGTCAAAAAGCCTGGCATCTTTTGGCTGAGATGTAAAATGAACATCTCTTCTTTAAAGATTTTACATCATTTTTCCCAAGGCCTGCAGGTTAACCCCTATGTCCTCTCCAAATTCTTTGTGTGCCACTTGTTTCACTGAGGTACCAGAATAGCTTGTTAATCCCACCCCAAAACGAACATTCTCTCCAGCTGGCATGAAATGGCATGAGTGGGAAAATCCAGTCACCTCTCTGCGCTGGGGTCCAGTTAAAAAGTCCAGTTAGCCCTATCAGAGTTTGCAAGGGTAAAGGAAGGTGGGGGGGAGGTCTTCCCTGTTTGGGCATGACTTGGCCTCAGTGTGCCTGGACGCAGTCAGCAATGCTTACTACATCAGTATCCTGCTTAAACAGGGAAGGGAAGACTGAAGCTGGGGCCCGACTAGTTAGGCATATCACTCTTACCCGGTGTGAGCAGAGGCTCCAGCAGACTCTGAAATGCATGGGTGCATTAACTAGTGAAAATAATTGACAGACAAGAGTTGCTGGCCTGCAGAATGTCTGCGAGCTGGGGATGTTCAAGGTTCAAATGTTTGCCTATTAGCACTAGGAATCACATACAACGTTTTTAGGTTTTTGTTAGATGAAACGTAAAACCTGGGTTTCAGCTTGCATATTCAGACATAAGGTTAGTGACAGGGGATTCACAGTGCTGTTGGTTCACCATAAAATGTGAGAATGGATTCTCCCGAATAACCAGAGAACAAAAATATGCTTTTTGCACTTCAATTCTCACTTAACGGACTTGAGCTCTGCAGAAGGCTCACTGATCTTGGTTCTCCTGTTCCAAGGCGTCATGTAGCTCTTGCAGTCCTTGTTTTCAAGCACACTAAATCTGTTGCCCCATCTCAAAGCTTATCAGACCATGAGCACTTTTACATGGTAGTGTTTTCCTAGTGATAACAAAAATTTTCCATCTATCTGACCTACTCTGTCCTGTGCCAAGTATAACCAGTCGGTTACATGTTGGTGAGAAGCAGGACAAGAGCCCTCCTGGCCTTACACTGCGTTAGCATTTATAGCCAGTTAAGCAGCTAGTTTTGAGGACCTTTTGATAACTTGAAAACATTCTTCCCCTGTACTCATGGTTGTAGCGTTAGACTGTTATGGGTCCATCTGCAGGGATAAAGCTCTGGAAATAGGTAACTTGCACATATACGTTCTGCTTCCAGTGGGTAGGTGGAAGCAGTTGTCATCCTTGGATGTAAAGCTAGGCAGACTGAAAGGCAGAGTGCTGGAAAAGAATCTGGAGGAGAAGTTGGGATTCTGGGCTTAATATAAAATTGGGCAAGGGTAGGTGGGTAGCCTGGTAGAATGCTTTGCATATGTTTAGCCTTCAGGACCACAGGCAGCCTGATCAGGGGACAGTTGTGCCGAAGACCCAAAGCAATACTTTATATCTGCTTGGCATGATTCTGGTTATATCAAGATTCTGGTCTTGAGAATTGGTCCAGTATTTGAGAAGAGAGCCAGTGCTTTCTAGATTTCTATAGAAATGTGTCCACAGAAGCTTGTGGATACAAGACATGTCAAGGCACTTTTTGTCTGGGCAGATACAGCCTTTGACATCTGGTTATCTAGCTTTGCATGAATACTCATTTAAAAATACAGAAAAGGTGTTAGCAGGGTGACTTACACCTCTGTTTCTCCATGAAGGTTACTACACTCAGATCTCCACACTGGCAGATGTCCAGGAGAACGTGATGGAGTACCTGCATGTGCTTAGCCGTCCCATGGTCATCAACCACGACCATGACATTATTTGGACCGAAGCCTACATGGACAGTGCGGTAAGGACCTACAGCACAAGTCTTTAGTCAGCGAACAGTAGGGCCTACGGGCCAAACTGGCAAAGGTGTTGGACACCCAGCCAGTATGTTAGGCATATAACTAGTCACAGCTTTCTATCTAAATATCTTTTGTGTATCAGAATCTAAATAAAGACCTGACACTTATGTAAAACTAGGAGTTGGTTGGTTGATAGAAAGTACTGGTCCCTGGCTCTGCTAGGACAGGCAATATTTCTTTTCTGCTCACCCCTGGAGCCGAGATGTATATGCAGGCTCAGGTCTGAAACTGCAGTGACCCAGGAGCCCAGGACTAATCGTACAGGCACAGCATGACTTAAGTAGTGCTTCTGTGAAGGCAGGTTACTTTCTAAAGGATTATTCACAGGAAAGATTATTTACAGCTCAGGATACGGGTCACAGATTTATTTCCTCCAGACCAGTACCTAAATGCATGCTGCTTCCCCCTCGAAGATAGAGATCTAGGTTTGGGAAGCAGGCTCACCCTTTCATTCCTTAAGATAGCAGGACCTAAGGTTACAGCAGTGGCCCTGTGCTCAACCCTGTGGGCAAAGGACGCATCGCAAAGGACCAGACAGTCAGCACTCCCAATGCCCCTGGCTTTGCCTCAGGCCTGCCCTGTAGGAAGGCATAAGACATTTGGACACACGGGCAGGGGCTATTAGGGCGTTGCGTTGCCAAGGCAGTTTTGAAATTCAAAGGGGTGAAGGGAAGGACAGAGGAGTAGACCACCACTGAAGGAGCCTTCCCCTGCACTTCCCCAAATAGAAGACATTCCTCAATCTCCATCCCTTTTTACATTGCAGAAATAGGAATTTGCAGATCTTCCAGGGTGCTCTGTGCTTTCAGGGAGATAATTTTTTTTTCCTTGCATGGATTCTTCACCCCAGAGAAGTTTCTGCATAACTGTGACAGCTACAGCTGGCCAGAAGTCAGATTTCCCTCTTCCAGAGTCAAACCTGAGGTCTCAGGACTGTTTATACTATCTGAGGGGAAAAATTTTTTAGAAACCTTGAGAATTTTTCTGTACACAATCCCACTGTGGGACTGAAGTTATTGGCTGAGTCTGGTCAACAGCAGGTTTAGGGTATCTGCCACAGCCCTGGGGAGAACCCAGAGTTTTGGGGTTTAAGATCCACAGTGAGAAACCTGAACTCTCTGAGCTGGAGTAAAACTAAGGGTACTGAGCTCAGTGTGGTAGCAGAAAACATGGAAATCCAGGGCACACGTGGCAGTGCCTGATGCTGTGCTCAGAGTCAAGACCACACAGACCCCAAGAAATACCTCCAAAGCAGCCAGGCTTGCACCGTCATGGGCGTTATACTCAGGAGATCCTTCTGGGAAGCGACCATCCCCCACCTCTGTGCTGCAGCTCACCATGGAGGCTGCAGCTGTGGCACACTGGCTCTTGTGAGGGTGACGTGGGGGTGTCTGCTGCTGCAGGAGCTGTGCCAAGTGAGAGATGGGGACATGGTACTTGAGGGTCCTGAGCAAAACCTCCAGAAATGCTACTAACTCCCCCACAAATTTAAGCTATTGCAGACCTGCCACCCCGGCCTTAGTGCATGGCGCTTCCCAAGGCAGCCATAGGGATTTGTTTGCTGCAAAACTTTTGCTGCATCTCCTCTTGTCTCTGGGCTTGGTTCACCACTCTCTCCCTCCGCTCCAACCTCTCCCGTCTTCGAGTCATTCCTTCATTCCTGTATTCATTCATCTGTTCATCCGTGTCTCTCGCTAGCTGCCACAGTCTGAGGAGGTAACTGCCCCCGTGTTTTGTGAGCGTGCCGTTTCCCTCGTTGGTGTGCCAGTGCTCGCAGCCACAGCTGCCCTGTACATCTGGAGGGGGTGGGGGCTGCAGCACTGCAGGAGCCCTCTTCCAGTGGCAAGAAGAGGGGAGGAAGTGCTGGATGTACTGGAGAGCTGTGCTGTGCGCTTGGTTCAGAATAGGTAGGGGTGTCGTGCACTAGCTTAGCTCACTGATCTCTTTTTCCACGTGCCTGGTAAGTGCCAGAGAAGTTTACTTGCTGTGTGTTAGTGCGAGTGTTGCTGTGAATGAGGCATTTCCACAAAGAATCACCCAGAGCAGTAGCTCAAGATACCCAGCTCAAATCTCCGTCAAGTGACTGCACAGGTTATTGACTGGCCCCTTTATGGCTCCCAAGGTGTATAGTGACAGAGACGGGAGGTCATTGCTTTCCTTAATACTTGACCAAATGAGAGATGGAAGGGGGGATGCTACTGGCATCAAGGGATTTAGGTCCTTTTCCTAGCTAGGCGTGTCTGGGAGATTCCTTTGCATGTGTCTTGTCTGATTTACCTCCTTTTGCGTGTGTTTGTAGAACATCTGTCTTCTGCAGTACTGGGAGCATCTGTTAACCCATTACACATGCGTGTCCAGTATCCCCCGTAGAGATAGCTCACCATGGTGTATCTGCTTGGATCGTGATTTTGTATCTGTCTAAGCTTAGACGCCAGAGTAGCAAGTATATGTAAGCAGGCACTCTGTGTATTTGTGCCTTTTAAATATTTGTCTGTGGTGTTTCTCATTCGTGGTGTTCATGTGTTTGCAATATCTATATCTTGTTTGTGATTTTGCTCGTGTTTGTGTTGCTTTTCTCTGTTCTGTGCTCCTTGTGTTGGTGGTTTTTACACTTGTTGCGTAAGTGCTCATGTCTGCATTCCCAGTGCGTGGTGGGTATAAAATGTGCCACCGCTTCTACAGGATCCTGTCTCTTCATTAAAACAGCTCTTTAATTTCTCCCGCTTCAACACATTTCCCTGGCTTTCATCCCATCCTCATCACCCCACACGAGCAAGCATCCATCCCACGATCCTCTTGGATACGGAGTATTGAAAAATGCTGCCATCTGTTTTTAGAGGGGTGTGGGAGGCAAGGGGGTGGCTAATTGTAACCAACATCTGGGGTCCTTGGGAATTCCAGTGCCTTTTATTTGGGTTATCTGCGGTACTGCCTTCGCTAACACACGGCTCGTTGTTCTGTGGCAGCTCTTTGCATCTCAGGCTCAAAGTCTGTTGCTCATGACAACAGTGGCTATGCCAGTCTTCAGCAAAAAGAACGAGACGGTGAGTGCAGCGCGGGCCTCGCTCTCCTGCCAGCAGTAGTGAAGGATGCAGCAGACCTTTGTGGGGTTTTAAGACCTATGGGTCTCTGAAAGAAGAGCCTGCCATTAAGGGCTGCAGTAGACCTCTGGCAGGATGTGCAGCTGATATCTATCTATCAAAATGATAGTCTGCCATTTCCTCTGAATGCTATTTCTTCAAAATATCCCTTCAATATGACACTTCTCCCTGGTTTATCCCTTTCATTTTCAAACTGAGCCTAATTCCCAGACCCATAAAGTTTCAGGCTGAAAGAGATCATTACCTTGTCTAGTCTGTGCATTTTATTGTAGACCTTTACATTTCATGCAGACAGTCCTTCATGAGCCCAATAACCTGTGTTAGGCTAAAGTGTCACTGAAGAAAGGCAGCCAGCCCTCAGCTCTCCGTTGTGGTTTCTCATTCTCCATTAAAAACTGGTGTCTAAATTCCACTTTCAACTTGTCTGCCCTCACCTTCCTACCATAATGGCTTTCTCTGCTAAATTAAAAAGCCTTTGCTCTTTGGTATCTTCTCCTGGGAAGCTTCTCTACTCCACAATAAAGTCAAACCTGTCTATCATTTGATAAGAGAGAAAGGCTGAAAAATCTTCAGTAAGGGCATTTCCTCTTGATTTTGAAATCCTTTAGATGCACTTTTCTGTACCATTTCTAGTGTCTTAGCACCCTTTTTAAATGGCAGATGGTACCTTACCAGACAAATTCTTCATCTAGGAGCTGTGAAGAATTTTATGCCTTCTCCACCAGAGGCTAGCCTTAACCTTTATTAGCACAGCACTGCAGTAGGAGCCTGTGTCCTTTTTTCATCATGCTCCACAGATGTTTATTAAACCACCATTTCCCCATGTCATGGGGTTTTCCTGCATTCCTTTTTCCTAGGTTAACAGTTGTGTATTTGGCGTTTGGTTTGGTTGGCCCAAGTTATCAACTGATCTATGTTGATCTGCATGGTTGCCCTGCCCTTACTGGTGTTTACACATAATGAATGCAGGGGTTTGCCCTCAAAACTTGGTTTCGGTGATTTTATGTTATTTCGCACTCATAGTAAAAAATGCTGACTAGTATTGGGTAAAAATACCCCTCTCCATAAACACTGGACTTTAGACCTAAGACTTTTTGAGGTATGATGGTTGATTTGAATGAACATATTCACACAAGCCTAGAGAGGATGTGTGAGAGACTACTAGGTTGGCAATAATGTGTATTCAGGTAAAAAGCTACCCAAGTTTTGGTTCTGAAAATGGATTCTCCTTTGTTTTGAAGCGATCTCATGGCATTCTCCTGGGTGTGGTGGGCTCTGATGTACCACTGAGGGAGTTGTTAAAACTTGCTCCACGGTATAAGGTAAGACTGAGGTAACAAAATCTGTTATTTTTCACAGTGAAGTCACCAGTCATTTTCTATTTTTCATCATTCCTTTTCCTGTAGGAACAACTATGAGCGCAAAGCAAGAGATGTTGCATGTGGTGATGTGTAGTTTCTACCTAGCACATGGGAAATCATTCTCTACTTAGAAGCTCTTAGGCTACTTCAGTGTCATGAGGACTGGATGATCCAGTAGATTGGCAGCAAGTCATGGAGCCTTTGCATGGTGGTGGTCACCAACCTAGATCCCTCAGAGATGATATGGATCTGACGGATATCTCAGAAGAATTAGTTTTAATCCAGTTTCCAGTGAACAAAAGGTGCCATGCCAGCTGGAAAAAAAACAAAATTAAACTAGTTTCACTGTCAATAAGCTTCGCAGAAAACCTGAGGACTGAATGGACTATGGAGAGCCAACTTTTCTGTCATGCCAAGACATTCCTTTCTCCAGATCAGCATGAAGATTCCTTGGCAGGATAGTGTACAGGAAGTTGGCTCTCGCTGGCTTGTGCTGTACCTAGATAGTCTATTTTTCTCTCCAGAATTGTTGTTCCAGCAGCTTCCTGTTAGCTCTGTGTTTAATATATCTTCAAAGATATATGTTAACCCATAGGAAAACACTCCAGAGTGCATTGATTAGCTTCTGCTGTAAGTTCTGTGCAGTGACCTTTGGTTCAACCGGTCTGCACAGCAGGAGACAGCAAGCATCTGAGGATCACCATGAAACCAGGCAACTTGAGCCATCATTTCAGGTTTTCTGTTTCTCTTAAATAACAATCAGACAACCACTACCAGTTAGGCAGTTGTCCAAAATCTGATTGCTGAAGACTCACAGGACTGAAAGTGCTGTCAGAAGCAATGAATTTGTGTGGTGCTTCCAGACATGGATGCAGGGTAGGCCAGTCCCATGCAACTGTAGGGAATGATCTCTAAAGCAGCCTAGGAGCTGTGAGTGTCAGGATGCATGCACTCAGCATGCAAAAGCTAGTCTGGGGGAACCTTGTCTAGGAGCTTCCACCTTTATACACATTTATTTTCTCTATTAGACTAATACTTTTTCATTTTCCTCCCTCCGTATCACGGAAAGGTCATGTGTCACAATAATCTTTCTTCTGGGCCAAGGAGGGATGCTAGTCCAAGCAGTGCCAGAGAAGGAGGGAAAATCATTTGAAGGATTCCTTTACATCAAAGACAGGACACGACTTCCCAGAAGCTGTGCCAACTCCAGACCAGTTTATAAACCCAGGATCCTCAACTTGAATCCCCAGGCATACGGGTTTCAAAGGACCAGTTCCAGAGTTACAGCCCTTGAGAGCTCATACATATATGATCGTGCTTACTGATTTGGGAAATTTCAGCATGAATAGGCCAACAGGAAGTTTGCCGTAGTCCTGATCCAATGGCTTGGACACATTCTTGCCATGTTGAGCTGGGCTGAGTGTGCTTTGCAAAAAAATTGTTTCAAGTAGCGAGTGTCCAAAGTTTTGATCTGGGATGTGTAAAATACTGAATTCATTCCCTCCAAAAAGCAGAGATGGATTGCGAATTACTTACCTCCCCACTTCCCTATTGTTATCCCTCCAGGACTGTCTCTGTAGGACTATAAAGTTGCAACATTTTTTTGAAGATAGAAACCTTACCCATTCTTGTTTTCCTTGAGACATCTCTTGTTTTGGCAAGCACCAGGCTATCAGTGGGTGTTCAGCAACTCGGGGTTTAGCTGGAATTCGTATTGTACAGGGGCTTGATCTGAATAATTGCTCTCAGGAATCTCCTGCTGATCAGGACAGCCAGTGTCTGCTCTTGTTAGATTATGTTATGGCTTAAAAAGCATTTTAAGACTATGGACTTGTACAATTGGCCTAGGCTGGGTCTGGTGTTGCCAACACTGAAACACAGTGCAGACCTCATCCAAGATTGACGGGATTTCCAGGGAAGCCATCTGATAGACCCGTATTGTCCATTCACTGCTGTGCAATGTTGTGATGGGCACACAGACCTCTCACCGCTGTTTCTGTACTGTTTACAACATCCCTCATCACTGCCCGTTGGGTGTGCAGTGCTGCTGTGCCTGCTGTGGAGAGCTTATTCTGGCCCTGGGTGATAATTGTCCACGAGGACAACCAGACTCTAGGAGGGCATCTTTTTCTGAAGATGTACACAAATCTATTATCTGCCCATACTTTTGTGCATCCGAGCATAACAGACTGAAGCTCGGACAGAGTGGCCAGAGATCCGGAGATAAATGGTTTGGGATGGATCCCATTTTCTGCTGGTCAGCACCTCTAAAAGGGAAATATTTCTGGATATGCCAGGGTATCAGTGGCACCCATTATGCAGCAGTGTTTCTAACTAAAGCACTAATTACTCTGATGCTTTTTTCTCCAGCTGGGTGTCCATGGATATGCCTTTCTGAACACCAACAACGGCTACATCCTTTCACACCCAGACCTCCGTCCTTTGGTATGTATAGCTGTGAATTTGAGAACCTTTCCTTGCTTGGAAACAGTGGCTTTCAGGGATGCTCCTAACTTCTCATATTTTATTGAGCTGTGAAGGCTAGCAGGCTCTGCTATATAGGCACCAAGGAGCATGAGGCCCAGAACGATCAGTTCCACATCCATAAATGTATATTTTCACAGATGTGTATGAAGTGTGAGGTACCCTGCCTGTTCTCTGTAAGAGTGCATGAGGGCTGTATTCGCGTGCGCTTGCCATACTGTGGGCGCACACGTACCTGCATCCAAGTAAGGAAGGGGCACATCGTGTTTCCAGGAATGGGGCAAGGCAAAGCTAGGCAAGGGCACTGCTTTATTCTCCACCTGAAATTGGCTTCTCTTAGTCTGCTTCCCACCTTTTCCTTCACCTGGAAGATTACAGGGAAGTAGCCCACTTGCATCAGTTAGCCCTAGGTGAAAAGCCTTCCTTTCTGTCAGTGAAGCCAAAGGCTAATTCCCATCAGGAAAGATCTCTTCCTTTTATTATAGTGTTAATGGGATTACACTCAGCTATGGGGAAAAAAACAGATTTCCTGGAGGCAAGTGTATCATACTGACCTATTTGGAAGAATATTCTCACCAAGGAGGCTATAGCCTTTACCTGCAAGTTCATCTGTGTTCCTGCTTGTCTTTTGCTCCTGGAACAGCCTCTCCCACTTGACCTGTCCTAGCCCCACACTGCCTGCATAAAGAAATGCATGGCATGGGACCGAGAAGGCACTTGCACTCAAACCCTGCCTTCCCATTCAGAGAATAAATGAGACAGCCCTATTTTTCAAATTAGGTATCAATCCTTAAAGGGTTAGTTTAGGAAGTTGTCTAGCCACTTACTTGTGGTTTTTTTTTTGGTTTTTTTTTTTTTTTTTTCCCAAACACCAGTATAAAGAAGGAAAGAAACTGAAGCCTAAGCCAAACTACAACAGCGTAGATCTCTCAGAAGTGGAATGGGAAGACCAGGAAGAAATAGTGAGTATCAGAAAGTGAATTGAGCCTTTTTTGTAGCTCCTTTCTTCTATCCTTTTGTGTGCCTGTATGGAAGGGGCGGAGGAGCAAAAAGCACTCCTGTTTTTTGCTGTGCCAGACTGGCCTAAGAGAGGCTGGTGGTCACCAACAGGACAAGGATGGTGGTCCCCTACAAAGTACTTGTCTTCCTTCTCAGTATGAGTTTTCCTTCACAGGGAAGGAAAGCATTGGCAGGAGGAAGGATGAGCTTTGGAGGGTGCTCCAGGGAGCCAGTCTCTGTATACATGACCCAAATGCTGCCTTAATAGAAAGCCAAGATAGCTTAGGGTTGTGGCGGTGTCCCATGATGCTACTCATACACGTAGCATGTGAGATATAACTGAAGCCACTCAATTAATGAGATCTGCAGCAAGGAGCAAAGTGCATTCAAAAAGAGACTAAAACTTGCAGTCACTATTAATAATAGACACAGAGGATAAGGGTCTTAGACACTTGAGAAAAAACTGATTTCCAGAAACCACCTTATTGCACAGGTGTGAGAGGCACTGAAAACAGTAGCTGACCAGAGGGAAAAGATTTTTTTTAAAAATACCTTTCCTACTGTCTTTCAAACAGAATTATTAAAAAGTGATAAACAGGAAACAGCATGCACCTCAACAGCTGCACATTGCCACATTGCACAACTAGGAACCCAGATACAATGAGAAGGTAGAGAGGTTCAGCTCCTCTCTGGCTCGTTTTCTTTTACTCAGAAGAATTAGGAGAGAACAGATACTTAAGTTACTATGATAAGAACTGAATTTGGAGTAAGACAGAATTATCTGCGGGACACATGCTTCTGGATTACAGGGGAGACTTGTGAGATAAACGGATCTGGTGCTATACATAACCACTTAAACAGGTAGGACAAATGAACTGCCCAGCAAGAGGATCGAAGTAGCTACTGTCCCTAGTGCAGGCTAAGTATAAAGGGCCACGCCGAAGAACTTTGGAAGTGGAAGAGTGGCAAATTCAGAAAAGAAACACAACAGGACTGGGTGTGAAACATGGAAGGCAAGACAAAAATAGGAGGCTTTACATGTGGTGGAACCACCAAGCTGCAGGTTGCCAATGGCTTTGTGTGGGTTTGCTGATGTCTTCTAGGAGCACTGCTCCTATTTAGTTTTCTCTCTCACTGGGACCATTTTAGGGCTGCTCCGGTTTATTCAGTTTGCTATTTCACAAAACAAAAAATCCAGAAATGTAGATGACTTTGCTGTCACATTTATTTGGCTATCAGGTTTCCGTCTGACCAAATAGCATCGATACCTGAATGCAAATATGCAAAATATAAGGTTTTGTCTGTAGGCAATCAGAGTAAAATTATCCAGTGGGAAAAAGAGGCATGAAAAAACAAAGCCACTTTGTGTTCCTGTACTGCATCTTCCAGAGGAAAGAAAGGTTGCAGTCACTGAGGGTACAGAGACGTTCAGTGACGCGAATGATATCTGCAGTGTGACTTCAGCAAGCCTAGAGACTCTCAAGATACACCCACTGCAGCAGAAAGCTGCCAACTTTTCAACACTCAGATTTGCAGCTATGGTATTAGATCAATGACAGACTCAACATCAGTTGCAGTATAATCTCAGCAACACTGATAAGCAGCAAATTCAGACTGGAAAAATATGCCCAAGTGCTAATGATGTGTAATACAGCCAGCTGCTGAAAAGAAATCCAGGGAAGGGAAGATGCCATTGCCTGGGAAATACCAACTGATGCACAATAGTACTGTCTGCAGCTAGGCAGCAAGGGGGTTTGGGCTTGTTTGTAAGGCAGTACAGGGATATTCTCAGTGTGAGGGGAAAAGGGAAGGGTGGAGAGATTGCCCCCAGCAGTCAAGGAGCTCTCACCCAAACAGGTTTTCTTCAGCCTTGACAGAACCACTGGAAAAGAAATTAGTCTGCAGAGATGTTGAAACTGAGTGGCAAAACACGTAGGTGTTGTGGGACCCTCAGGTAACGTGTATGTCTGTGTTGGTTTGAAGCCACGCCAGCAGACAGGGGAAAGGAGTTACCGGTGATGGGAACGGCACGGACTCGCTGCCCTGGAGCAGGAGGGTTCACTGTCTGGGGTGTCAGGATGGAGTGCTTTGGTGTGCACCACAGCACTGCTCCATCCAAACTCCGCCATGTGTTTTTCAAAGCGAACAATGGCTGTTGCCAGACGTGTCCTGCCTAAAAAGGACTGAGCATTCCAGGGGCTCCCAGACACCAGGACTGTAATTGACTTCTCAGCGCTGGAGAAGCTATTGAGGAAGAAATGTCGAGCCTGGACCGTGGCACCAACCTACAGCCACTGTCGCCTGCGGGCCGGGCACAAGACAGGGAGCCTGCCTGCAGAGTAGCTGGAGCTGGGGAGGTACAAGGAGTTCTCATATCCACTGATTTGCTTCTCCACCGCCTTCTGGGGCTATGAAAGATGTCTGACATTCAAGAAGTTAGGGGTGAAACAACAACATCTGAACTAAACCCAGAACCCAAAGCAAATGCTGCAGGCTCTCGGAGCCAAACAGAGAGTCGGCTGTGGCTCTGGCAGGAGGTCAAACAGTCTTAGACAAAAAGGAGTAACACCAGTCAGTGTTTTGACTTCCAAGACGTGGGCCTTGGGAAGGACAAGCTTTATATTCCAGGGCTGTGAATAACACACATCAAACAGCCATAATAAACAAAACTGTGCCCTTGTAAAGCAAATGCAGTCGAGACTGGCCAGCACCTGAATGGAGGCCTGTCTATGGAAGTAAGGAAGCAATTTGTGTGAATTAATGTTACTTCCCACCTTTTATTCTATCCAGGCTGAAGCAATAGGCTGATATGCTCTGGCAGGCTCAACTTAAAAGTCAAAGCCTCTGCACTTGTGGAAAAATTCCATGGCTCGCTCTTTCAAGAGGCTGGGAGTCACTGTGAAAATTACATTTTGCCTTTAGAACCTGGATTGAATAAAGTGGTCTTCTCACTGCCTGCCCTGCTATCATACAGTCTTGCTTTGCTGTGTTAAACAGCTGCTTTGCTGCACCTCAGAAGTGGTGCTGAATACAGCCTATAATTTATAAATCAGTTTTAAAAATGTCAAAGAGCTTTGGAACCAGTCCAGGGGGAGTTAGTGGGCTTCTCAGGTGTCTCCTCTTCCAGGCTCTCAAAGCAGCATGCTAATGACACACAACCAGCAAAGCCTGAAACTTGGACTGGCAATTTCATAGCTTCCAGATCACTTCTTTTCGTTAAAAAGATGTATCAACAAGCTTTCAGCATAAGCCATTATTATTCTGTGCCACATATCAGACTGACTGAACGAGGATCCTGACCACTGAGAACAGGTTTTCAGTTTCAGAGATGCAAGAAAGAGCTGGGGGGGAATGTAGCATCTCTCTTTTCTAAACTTGGACTGGCAATTTCATAGCTTCCAGATCACTTCTTTTCGTTAAAAAGATGTATCAACAAGCTTTCAGCATAAGCCATTATTATTCTGTGCCACATATCAGACTGACTGAACGAGGATCCTGACCACTGAGAACAGGTTTTCAGTTTCAGAGATGCAAGAAAGAGCTGGGGGGGAATGTAGCATCTCTCTTTTCTGCCAGCCCCTGTGCATTAACAAGTGGTTCTATGAATTCCTGGCCTGGAGACACTAATACTACTCTTGTTCACCTCTGCAGCTGAGAACTGCCATGATCAATGGGGAAACAGGCTACCTCTCTATGGATGTGAAGGTCCCTGTGGATAAAGGGGTAAGAAATAATCCTTCTGTTCAGGTCACACAAGGGAGGGGATGGGAAATGGAGGCTGAAGAACCACGGAGGATGTGGTTTTAATACTCAGCATTTCTGAGTGTGAGGATTTTATTGTTTCACCACACATATAACACATGTGCGAAAGACATAAAATAGGGCATCGTTAGAAGCGTTCTTTGTACCTAAAAACATCCTGCTCGTGTGGTATTGGAAATGCCTCACAGCTCCCTACTTTGTCCAGGCTAAGCCAAAAAGCATGTTGTTCATTGTTTATAGGGCTGTGAAACGAATCTGAGATCTTCAAGAGTTTAGAATGGGGCAGACTATGCTGGGCCGACCTAGACAGAAAGAGGATTGGAGACTACTTTGCAACTCCCTTACCCTACCCAAAAACACTCATGAAAACTTTGCCCCTCACTCTGCCAGAATGTGATTTCCCTTATCCAGGTCCAGGATTAAATTTCTGTGCAAATATTTACAGGCGCTTTATGAAAAGTCCTAGTGAAATGGAGACTTCTGAATGTTCCCTACCAGGTCTAATGTCGGGTTATACATCTTCTCTTGGAATCAGTGCAAAATCATCTTGTACATTTACGTTCACTGGTACTTTTTCATTCGGGTTTATTTAACTATCCTAAAGATTTTGGCTTTCATCATTTCCTGTTAGGAAGTATTCCAGAGTCCTGCAAGTTATACTGCCCAGAAGTCTTCCATATTTCAGGAAAATTTTCCATCTTTTATAGAGAGCATTATTTTTTAGCGAGCAGGCTGGCTGAACTGGTTCCATGCTAAGCCACAGTCAGCGCCAATTCCAAGAAACCGCCTGCTCACAGCCACTGCTGACAGGGTGCCATTTCTTAATGAAGATGCCCCTCCATTTCCCCTGACTACATGTGCTGCTAGATCTTGTAACTGAATTCTCTTTCTCTACTCTTGATGTTTGCAACTATCTGTTACCTGTCAATGGCTTTGCCCTTCCTCTCCTGGGCATTGCCAACATCTGCATTAGAATTACTCGCATGTTTTTCAGTCCAAGCGGTACGGCAATTATTTTTGTTCCTTTTGTCTCTTGTACCATTTCTGGTACACAAGTACCAGCCTTTGCTGAATTATTTGAGTACTGTTTCCCTGTTGCTCGGTAGAGAGCATCTCTTCTCTGCAATAGGATATTTCTTCACAGGGAGCCCCAAATCTCCTTTCTGCTGTGTCTTCAATTTTTTCTCCATCCCACAGCTGCACTGGAACAGCTGCCTTGGTTTCCGTGTTTCGTAGCTGGGTTTTCCAGTTGCCATTTTTCCATGTGAATCCCACTCCTCCTTTTTGTCCAGTCCTACTAATTTTTAGGGCTGTTGGGGCTTTCTCAATATGCAGAAAACATTATTTTGTCTTACAGATCACTGTACATAAGGGCTCCTAGGATGGAGTATGTCTGTTCCTCTCATTAGATCCTTCTCCCTCGATGCCCTGTTGTTTACTGTTTCTCTTTGTTTACAGTACTGCAGTTGGTTCTCACATTTAAGCCCACTTTAACTGATTCTTTAGAATAAAATTTCATGAGAAGTTGTTTCAAGTCCTTTATATAAACCCAGATACATTGCATGTCCTTTATTCCCTTCATCCATTATCTTTGTTATTCTGTCAGAAAAGCAATCAGGGTTTTCCAGCAAGATCTGTTCTAGCCTAGATTGCTCATTTCTCTAGCTTAACCTCTGTCTCTGTGCACCCTCAATAACATTTCTTCTGAGTCATCCAAAGATACCTTTTTAGTTCAGTATTTTAGGGCCATCTTTCTGCTCCCCTACTCGGGAAAAAAAAAGGTAGCTAGAAGTAGCCTAGGTAAGAGGCGTTACCTGTTTTATTCTGCAATTCTGCTCGCCTTGTGAAGCTTAACAGGAGACTGGAGCAGAGTATGTGACAGTTTTACTGTTATCAGAAAACACATGGAGCGGGGACCAAAAGTGAAACTTAGCAATTCCCAGTGGTACTCTGCTAGCTGATGAAGCAGGGCAGCGGTTGCAACAAAGAAAGCGATGACAGAGCCTTGAAACAAAGAGAATGAGGCAGTCAGATGGCAGAGAGAAGGGCTGAGTGAAAGGGACAGAAATTATTCTGTCAGCCACGTAAACATCAATTCCCCAGGTTGATCTCGGGAAGGTATTGAGAGTGAAGTGACATAGAAAGGGAAAAATAAGGACCAAAGACTAAGGGCGTTTTTTAGCGAGATCTGATGGCAAGCATGGCTTTTCTGGCAGCTGGGGCACAAAAGGGTTGTGACTGTGAAAGCAAAAGAGCAAGGACGTGGGTAGGAGCTCTGGCAAACCACTGGTAATGGCACTAGGCAGGGCTGACTGCCTTGTACAGTGACAGTACCAAAACTGGAAATACACGTGTTCCCAGACCACAGGTGCTGGTAGCCAGCCAACTTGCCACTGTGCCAACGCACCCACGTTCTTCTCTTCTCCCTTGCTCCGTGCTATGTAGCAAGGCCCTGCCTGATCATCCTCAGCCCTGCCTGGCTCAAAGTGCTTCAGTTCCTTCCCACGGATAAGTGGTGATACCTCCAGCTGCCATGGGGAGGGCTGGCCACCCATCCCCTGCCCAAACAGGGGTTTGCCCTCCCTCCCACAAGGCACAGTGGCTGCATGTGCAGAGAGGGGCGAGCTAAGGATGAACAGAACAAGCCCAGCTGAAGAGAAGGGTCTCAGAGTAGTGGCACCCCTGGGCCATTTTCTACTGCATCCTTTCCCCCAGGAGCAGGCCCACACCCCCAGGTCTCATTCTTCCCCATGTCTTCCCTGCTGCACCCTCAGATCAGGCTGGCAAGGAAAGGGAGGCTTAATACCTCTTATACCTTCCCCACAGCCACCACGACACCACCATGCCACGTTCCTTAGGGATATCACAGCACTTTCGGAAGGTCTCGGCACAGCAAAAGCCTCTGACGCTGTTGCTCAGCAGTACACATTTGCCATGCATGGAGAGAGAGGGGAGGGAAGGGGTTGAGCCGTCTGCCACCTCCTCACCCCATCCCCATCCGCTGTGTGCACAAACTCGGGGCACAGTGTGGGGCTGGCTCGCCCTTTGTGCCTTGCTCCACTTCCACTGCTGCACAGCTCAAGCAGGTTAGAGCAGGGGGAGCAGTGTTCCCCTTTCCCTGGGGAACACTGAGTTTTCTGTGCTCACTCCCTGTCTCCCACTTACATCCTCTCACCTCGTTTTCAGACTGGGGCTGGGATTTTAAACATATTAGGGTTCCTATACTGGCATAAAGGTTGGATAGAAATTTTCCAAAAACTTTTCTCCTTTGGAAAAGAGTTCCACTGAAATCAACACTTTCCTACAGGAAAAGGCCAGTCTGGCAAACAGCTGAAGCTCTGAAGCAGCTTTCAATAATCCAAAATGTCTTCAGCTGAAATGTCAGTCGGAAAAAAATATTTTCATGTGAATCAAAACGCCTTGGATTTGAATCAGCACTTTTGTCCAATTTGAAAATGTAAATTGTTTCTTTTACTGATGTTTTTTAACAAAATTGGAATATGTTAATGTTTTGTCCCAGTTTGGCATGGAAGCAAATGTCAAGAATCTGAGCATTTCCCACAGGGGTGGGGAGACTTGGCCCCAGCTGCCCACCCACAGAGTGGGTAGATTTGCCATCCTGCCTCTCCTCCAACCCCACTTCTCCTTCCTACCTGCCCCACTGAGCCCCCTCTCCTGCTTGGGATGATGATGGTGTGCAAAGCCATCAAGGTTGTTCTGTACAGCAAAAGAGGCCCCAGCGTGTTGGCTCGGAGGGTGCAAGAGGGAGGACAGCTTCCCCCCACCCCTTCCTGCAGCCTGCGCAGGAGCCCTGGAGCAAAGAAAGGTTTAACCGAAGCCATAGGTGGAAAGACAGAGTGGCTGCCTGGATCCTGAAAGTCACAAGTTGCTGAATATGCTGAATACCGCACATTCACCCCTGCCACCAGCCTTAGCAGGGTGCGAAGTGTTGGTAACGATCAACTGCTGCTGCTTGGCCTTGGGTCCCCAGCAACACTACGCCTTGGTCTGTCAGACGATCTCTCACTTCATTTTTTTCCATGCTCTTATTCCAGAAACGAGTTCTCTTCCTCACTAATGATTATTTCTTCACGGACATCAGTGGCACACCCTTTAGGTAAGCAAGGATACACATGACACCAATATCAGAAGTCTGCTGTCAAGGACAGCAAATTGGTCCCTTTTCTAACTAAAACTGGCTACGACTCATGAGTAGAGCAATGTGAATAGTCAGTTTCTTTGTTCCTATGGCCATTAAAATGCCATTTGGGGTCAATGCAAAAGGAATGTTATGATTTGTTCGGAGTTGAAAAGCTATACCTTAGGTGGAGTGTGTTGTTTCATTTCAGAGAAATGAGATATCTTCAGTTTTCAGTTCCACTGACTGGTTTATGTTCTGGTGTATGGCTCTAAACAAAACATCGCTATCAACTGAAAATTATAAAACACCGCATCAGAAATCAAGCAAAAAATCTTTTGTGTTTTTTTCCCCAGCTGAAATGGCTTGAAATTGGCACAGATTGGAGAAATGTTATTGTTGACCTGAACCTACAACGTTGGCCAAAAAAGCTGTCCCCAAAAATGCCTCATAGCTCCACAGACAGGTTCCTTAGCCTCTTGTGCTGCAATCGGATCTCACTTAATCCTCTTTCGATGATGTTCTTTTCATTAATAGCTGTGGAGGAAGTTAATGTCTTTAAGGGTTGTAATTGTGGGGAACGCAGTGTCATGTTTAGGGATTACACCTCTCCTTGCTGAAAAGCCTTCTGTTTTCCCTCTCGCCTGCAGCCTGGGCGTTGTGCTGTCCAGGGGACACGGGGAGTACATTCTGCTGGGGAACACCTCGGTGGAAGAGGGTAGGTTAATCTGCAACAGCCACTCTGTCCTGAGGGACAAGGTGGCTACTCTGAACTTCCCTGCTTCCCTTCTCCACAGCCTACATCTGCCTATGTGCTGCCTGACGGAACACTCTGTATTATCTGGTTTCAGGTTTGCACGACCTGCTCCAGCCAGACCTGTCTTTAGCGAATGAATGGTAAGTGGAGGAAATCCTGTCAGTGACACAGGACTTTGTCATGACATTCTGGCAACGTTCCCAGCAGTCTGGCTTGGGTTCACGGCCCGCTGCGGCCTAGACAAAAAGCAGCGCTGTTCAGGGGCTGTACCTGCAAAGACCTGGTCGTCTCCATGCAATTCAGCTCCACCTCTTCCTTTGGGAGATCCCACCAGGACCTTGCACACCCCTCTGCTAAAATACACTTCCTGAGATTTATCCTCAGTCTTCTGTGCTCAGACTTATTTTGTTCCTCCTCATGTTGCTCAGAATTGTGCTGGAAAACCTACAGTATGTCAGACCTGTCAGGAAATTTTGTTGCAAGCTTAGTAGTAGATTGAAATGCTTTTTTAAATCCTAGCTTATTTTTGGTTGGCATTCTTCTGAACTGAGCCTAGACCTTATTTCTAGGGAACATGGAGGTGATTTATGACCCCTTTTTCAATAGCAAGCATAATTTATGGTTTTGCTTTGTTTGGATATGAAACAGGGTGAAGCATGGCACTTTCCATTTATTGCTGTGAGGTTTGGGATTTTCATGAACCCAACATTCAGCTACACCCAGGCACATGAACCCAGCCTGTATATAAGCCAAAATAACTATATTCAAGAAGCCCTGCAGCCCTTCACACCTCTTATTACACTGTCAAGTTTCACAGGCAGCACATTTAAGACACAAGCAGTGACTTCTCCTTCTTCTACTCCTAACTTGGGGTGTCAGCTTACAACACTTTACATATTCATTTTGCTTAGACTTCTCTCATAAATCACTCCTTTCAGCCCCTTTATGAGTTGTAATTCTCTCATAACCCCTTCCTCACCGTCCCCCTTACAATGAAGGGGTCAAAATTGGAAGCAGGATTAGAAGACTCGTTGCTTTCATAATACATCTGTAATGCATTCTCCTGCTTCTCCCTAAACTGTGTCCCGAAGCTCCTGCAGCTATGTCCCTTAGGGATAGCTTTTGTTGCCACCGTATCATACTGCAAGCTCACCCCTAGTCTCACATTTTGTTTCTCTGTCTCTTGGTTTATCTGCTCCCAATTCGGTTTTACTCGCATTGCGTGTGACCCTCTGCTTTTCAGCTCTCTCCATCACGTTGTTATTGTTCGTACAGACACAGGTACACATCTTAACACATAATACAGATGATTGCTGGAAGGATTTGGGACTGCTACGTTGCATTGTGAGCTAATGCTGGAGAACATTGCAGCCCTACTAAGTGCAGCAGTCAGATTAATTGGTGTTTGGTTTACTGGTAGGGTTTGACTTACAGCCACATCGTTAGATTTTGAGCGGGCACAGCATGCAGTAGCAGCAAAAGCTTTGCAGCCCAAGCTTTCTCGCTGAATTTTTGTTTGCAGTTGTTATTTTCCAGGAGCATCTGCTTGATGACTGTTTCTCTTTGCCCTTGCGGGTTGCTTCTCCCCTCCCCACCAGGATTTACTGCATCACCGACATTGATCCGGACCACCGGAAGCTCAGCCAGCTGGAGGCTGTGATCCGGTTCCTCACTGGAGAGGAGCCTGACCTGGAATGTGAGTCCCAGGCACCAAAAGGGCCCTGTTGGGGTTTTCCTGTACCCACCACTGGGGAGTAGGGACCGTGACAAATTGATTGGTGTCAGACTGAGCTCCTGTGGCACCTGCTCACACAGGCAGGGCTGGACTCAAGCCCAGCTTAATTCACATGTGGAAATGAGCTGAGGATTCGCTTCCCTGTCTCCATCAGAGGAATTTTTTTCCATTTCAAAGCTGTTACATGACTTGGCCTCACTGAAGGTCTCAGCATAGGAAATACTGAAAAGTGAAAGGCTTGAATGGAGCTCAGTGGGGGCTGCACACCATGTTTAGCACAGACTGACCAGCTGGGCTAGAGGGGGTGATGGCAGGAGGAGCCAGGAAAGCTGCTGTGACTACCCAGCTCCCCAGGGCCGCAGCCCACATCCTCAAAGGGCTGCATGGTGCCATCTAGACAGATGGGTTCTTTCAGAACATGGCTTATTCATTTTGTTTTCCAAACATAATTGGTGATTGATTTGGGGAAAAAAATTATTACAAAACTATTATTTTTCCTGCTCCCCCTGCTGCTCATTCCTTGCACCAGGCCCCATTCCCCAGGCCACGTGTACCCACACAAGCAGCTGGCAAAGCACTGCCACAGAGTGGGATCTGTGTCGAGGGTGCAGCTGTTTGTGGGAAAGCCCTACAGCAATTTAGCTTTAGGATGTCCTTCAGCCCACCTCACTCTCCATGGCTTCAGCCCCCTCAGCTGTGCCAAGTACAAGCTTTTGCATGTAATGCTCCACCTGAGAGGCACAAACCTTTGGCAAGAGGATGGGGATCTCTTAGAAATAACACCAAGTATAATCCAGTAGTTGTTTCTCTCTTGCACAGTGTGAGCAGGCTGTCTTTGGAGGAGGCTGAAAAGAGAAGTATGAGTTAAAGAGGCCAGGGAGGAGGACAAAAGTTTCAGAAAAGCTGACTTCGAGAAATTTGCAGATTTGGAAGTGCTGTAGAGGAAAAAGAAACAGGATTTGGATACATCCTAGACATGTGGGGCCTGGGGAGGGAAAGATCTGCTGGTGAACTCTGGTTTTGATGTCCCAGTGACAGCAAGGATAGAGAAATGGATTCTGACAACTGTGACAAAGAAAGGGGAAAGGTGGGAGAACTTGGGAGATAATATTAGGGGAGACCTGGGACCTCAACACAGAAAGTAGAGGCAGAAACACTGAAACAGGGGTGGAGTGAGGGGTGGGGGTCCACCTAGAACAGCACCAAAAGGGGCGTATCTGCAATATGATAGCCATCACATTCTCACAGCATGAAATGAATGGAGGCAGGGCAACTCAGAAATTAAGCAGGTCAAATGCGATCTTTGAGTATGCCATTTAGCACATGGCATATTTGAACCTTCCTAAACACCCCTCAGTCCCAGTCTAGGCTTGAGGAGTCTGGTAGCCTAGACTGACTTGAGCATCTGGACGGGGCTGGGACAAGGACAGCATTTTGTGAGATTTACAGGAAGGACAGAGGGGTATCAGAGAAGCCATAGAACACAAGAATAGAAGAAAAGCCATGAAGAAGTCACTAAGAGCTTTGAAGGAGCTTCTTGAGTGGAATGGGGTGTCCGGTGTCCTTCTACAGAACACCTAAAAGAAAGGTCAAAGCAGGGATTTGCGGCAACAGCTATGGGCAACCTGTTAAGTTGAGGAGAAGGTCAGAGTGAAGGCCTGATGAATAACTTCATTTGAAAGCCTCTCGCTTGCCAGCACTCAAACCCAATCCCCCTTCTACTGAGTCTGCAGAGGAACTAGCCTGATGATCTCAGTTGTAACATCTGTGCTTGTGGTCTCTGCCATGGATGGTGGTGGGTCCTGCTCTCAGTCCTGCAAGGGGAAGCCTCTTAGTGCCATGTTGGCTTCACGGCTCTCTAAGGCATCTAGGAAGGGGCATGTCTCTCTCCTGATTCTTGTTCTCTCTTCTTAGGTGACGAGGAGTTGGTCCAGGAGGTGCTGTTTGATGCAGTGGTCACTGCACCCATGGAAGCCTACTGGACAACACTAGCCCTCAATATGTCCATGTATGTGTGTGAGAAACAAATATGAGTAAACATCATTAAGATACACGTCCAGATGCTATGGCCTTATGCAGTGTCAGAAACAGTCACAGATCCTTGCACAGCATATAAGAAACTTTAGAAATTGCTCAAAAAAAGCTGATAGAAATAGCTGAATAGCTTTAGAAATAACTCAGAAAGTGTCTCTCAGGAATGGACTCCAGCAGGTTGGTCCTTCTCAGGGAGCCTTTAGTTTGGTGAGTTTATCTGAATATCACTGAAGAACAGCAGTGATCCTGATGTGTCACGGCAAGGGGCATTCAGCACCAGTTCTTTGCAGCCCCTAACTCATGCACTGCATTTGCCTCTTGATAGAGTTTGGTGTCTCAGGGTACCCGAGGCCATTTGAGTTTAACCTTATTATGCATTATTTCCCCATGCATCAGTTATCCCTTTGAATATCAGCAGTGTGATTTGGCTCAACTTCTCATACGACTGTAGCAGAAGTTCCATCCCAGGTGGCAAGCAAATTGCTCCCTTACCAGCAGTGAAGAAAAGGGAGTTTCATCTTGTCTCTGTTGGTGATACCTTCACACTGAGCCTCAGGAAGGGAGTGGAAAGGCTGGCTCTAGTAAACAACTGTTTACTTCATTATTTCCAGTGAGGCACCCGTTGCTTGTAGTATCTAGTATCATGTCACACAGATCTACTTTCAGGAGGCAACGTTACTTACACAAATGTGTTGCCACAGGACTCTTGTCCCCATTTCAGTTACCAGTACCCCTACTGTTAACAGAGCTTGAGCCAGCAGCAGTCGTGCTAGGACACCCCATTATTGGCACATCTTTAAACAGACACACCAACACACACCCCTCACTTCAAGGCCACCATGCTGAGACTGGCTCTTCAGCATGTATCTGTCCCATCTTTGCCCTTTATACCTCCAGCAAGACAAGTCGGAATCAGCTGACTGACAGAGTCAGTCTGCTACACTGCCCGTGCTGTGTATGCCTGGGACAGATATTCTCTCTGCAGCCCCTCTCCCTCACTTCAGCCTCATGCAGGCTGCCTGGAGCAGGAGCTAGCAGGAAGAGAGGAGCTTATGGTCTACTTACAAGAGAACCAAATGAGAAAAATTCAAAGGTGTGAATCTAGGTACGACTCTAAGCCTGCCAATTGTTAGCCAGTAACAGCCTGTTGCCATTAGCAGGCAGGAGACAGTGTCACTCCTGGTGTAAATGGGTTATATTGCAAATGAACTTGGGACCACACCTCCAGGTGTGGCTTCTAGTTTGAAAGGTCCTCACCCTGGGGCAGGGAGATGGCTGTTCTTTGAGAACTGTTTGCTTCTGCTTGTGTTTCTGCTCCACAGGGAGGCTGAGTCAGGTGTTGAGATGGCATTTCTGGGCACTCGGGCTGGACTCATGAGGAGTGCCCTATATGTGGGCTCTGAGAAAATTTCCAACAGGTAAGTCCCTCAAACAGAAAGGAAAGAAGCAGCACCCTGGGGGCATGAGTTGGGGTAGTAGGAGTCCTTTGTCATCTTCTGGTCCTTTTGAGTTTTTCTTAAAATACTGTCCCAAAGTGCATTCATTTCGGTCAAAACCCTTGGTCATTCCCTGACTTCAGTCAGCTAACACAGAAAATGCCCATAGTTACTGTATACCCCCAGGACCATTTTGCAGTGCAGAGGCTCTGCACTCCAGAGCCTGGGTGGCATTCCAGCTTGGCTGGGTTTGATCTTTCTGTCTCAGTTCCTCTTCCAGGTTTATTTTGTTCTGCCTTTTACATTGCCCACATCACAGTAGTATCCCAGTGCCTTCCAGTGAGGCGTTAAGTGATGTGACTGACATCTGTCACATACGATTCATTCTCTTGTCCTCTCCCTCAAGGCAAAAATGTGTGTTCAGTGGAGGGTTTTGACATGGAAAGGGTATAGTTTGCATCTTCATTGCATTTTGAATGTGCAGGCTGGTGCATACTGCTTCTAAGAAAGGACAGGTTACAGAGGCACACCAACAGATGGAACAGAAGGGGACAGTGTCAGTGGTGGCCCTCAGCTTCTTGGCAGCTGTTTCTCTGTCTCTGAGTTCCCCAAACACGAGTCATATGTTCAAGGCAGAGCTTGGCTGTGCCTGAAAGGTGACACTGACACCCTTTTGAGGCAGTCTGGGTGAAGTCAGGCTCTGGTGACAAGGGAGAAAACAACGTGTGCTACAGGAGACTGATGTGGGGATTCCCTGTCCCACACTGCTCACCAGGAGCATCGTTCAGTGCTTCTAAACAGCCGCAGTCACCACACTGCAGAGACAGAACTCTTCGCATCACGAGAGGTGCTTCTGGAGTCCCCTGAAGGGAAGGGTTGGATCTGATGATCTTAAAGGTCTTTTCCAACCTAAACGCTCTGTGATTCTCAATGAGTAATTATCGTTACGTCAAAATATACAGCAAAACGAGAGCCTGAAAACAAAAGGAATGTGTCAGGCGAGACATAGGGGCCTCCAGGGAAGCCAATGACCTGATTTTCCGGAGGTCTCCCCAGAGCACCCACTGCCTGTCTCACCGTGCCCTCAGGACCCACTCAGGAGCCCCCCCACTTCATTCCACGCATCCCTATGGGTTCAGTATGTGGCCACAGCGGCACAACCTTTGGTTTTTCAGTTGGCGTGTGATGTTTTCTGGCTTTGGTTTGGCGTTTTTTTGTGGGGGGAGGCTGTCTAATTCCTTTTTCTCACCATTCTCCGGCACTAACTCACGGCCTTCCACTGGCCACACACCACTCCCTCGCCCACCCGCAGTGTCCCGCTGCTCAAGCCCGGCCCGGGCCCTTGCTCCTCACGGCCTAACCGCCCCGGCCCACGGCGGCACTGCGCCTCAGAGGCCGCGGGAAGCCTCCTCAGCCCCGTCCGGCCGGCG